CGTGCTCTGCCGCAACACTACCTATAATCACTGGCGTCCACTCTACACAATCTATGGATCGGGTTGAGCTTGCCGTGCCGCAACACTACCCTTGATCACGGTTGACCAAAGCATAGCAAGCTGTTCCTCTTTGTTTATGCTCCAGATGCCAAGCATCGCTACCTACCACATCCCCTACCGACCCTGCCTACCAATGGCCCAGCGGGGCGACGCGTAGCACGCCCGGGGCGCCGTCTGCCGGGTCCCTTACCGGCTTCTGCTCGCCATGCTTCCTCTGCTCGGAAATGGGGCCAGTCCACCCCCTCCCAGCGGGCAACAGGCTTCACAGCGGGTTCGCTGCGCTCCACTCCTTACACCTAGAGCACAGCACGGTGCACAGCCTCGAGTTGCGCTAACAGGACTAGTCCCTGTTCTGTTAAGGTTAGTATATACGCCACATGCACACTTCAGGCACTGGGCTATCGCTAAGATCCCCTGTCACCACCATATCGCATTGTAATCAACGTTAGTGCAGAGTGACGCAGCACTCGAGGCGAGTAAGACTACTCTCCTGCTAGCCGGGTCTAGGCGGCTGACATTCACCCCTTGTTCCCGTGCTCTTAAGTCCTGTGGCAGCTTCACTACTACCAAGCGCGTACTGTGGAAGACGTTTATTCATCGGTACGGTTCACCAGGCTACACATCAGGACGGCCCCACGCCTTCCGGGCCAGCTACAAGAACCGCCACAGCCGAACTACAGCCGTCTGACACAGTGGCTCATTCAGATGTGACTTGGACGTTACAATGCCTCGGGCCGATGCCCCATTGTCCCCGGGGGCGGCCCATTCAGAGGCGCCACCAAACTATGCGGGCTCTTTACCGACCACATTTTGGGCCACAGAACCCATCGCCTGTGGTTTTCGAACGCCACTCATCGCCACAGCTTCTGGCTACCGGCTAGGGCTATCCGTCCAGATTGTTTCCGTCACAGCTCTTTGGCGGCTCAGCCTGCTTCAGCCAATCACGTCCTGCATTCTAGAAATGCTGCTGACGCTGCAGGTTTCAGGTTCTTCCTTCGAGTTCTACGACCAGATCACCCGCACATAGAAGCGTTTAACACTAATCGTCGTCTCCGGGTTGCAAATTCGAAAATATCTCTCTACACCTAAGTAAGATACGTTTATTTCTTTATTGAACTTGATGACAGTGGTCCGAATCCCCTGCGTGAGGATATCCATCTGGATCTTCATCCGGATTTGTAGCCGACTCCGCTATCGACTTCCAGCTTCATTTCTGACTTCACATCTGGCTTAATAAACTCATTCAATAACAATTATTCGACTTATCCGGGTACAACTGCACTGTGAAAAGGTGGTCAACTTTTGGTTGATATTTTACCCAATGTTGGTGTAAATATCAACTTCCCAACCTTGTGCAAAACCTTCCTAATCGGTGGCCAATGTTTGACCAACAATGATGGAAATTAACCAGCAGTGTGTGGTAACTTTAATCGAGGTTGGGCAAATAACGAGTGCCTAACACTGTTTGACCATTTTTTTACAGTGTGGTGACGTTTCTTATTCAGGCCTACGCCTCGGCCTTGATCTGTTCACTTCTGGGGGCAGGATTTAGATGTATACTCTACCGGGCCTCCTTACGTCATTTGCTCGTACGGCCCCTACACATGTACATGTATAGTGAATGCAAGTTTGGGTTACGCATGCTTAACCCTGACCCCGGCTCGAACAATAGCTCATAGGCCTACCGCTAAACTACGCATCAGACCGCCGGCTAGCACCAGAGACTCCCGTGCCAGGGACCAGCTGGCCGGGGAACGGAGAAATCTGCTATACGGCATCTCCCTACCATTCTCTGGAGTTATTCCGGTGAATAAAACGCGATACGATCAGCCTAATGTGTGTGTTTTATACTCCCTACCTTTTTTTTTCAATAATGCCTGCGGTAGATGTCAACGCCATACCCGGAGATCTAATGCCCCATTGGGCCCTCCAACGTCTGAAAATTCGTTGTCGGGGGCATCCAGGCGCAGTAACAATCAACCTCGATCTGTGGACTCTCCCCTCATTCAATTCAGTATCCACACGTCGTCCGAGTTCACCGAATTTCACATTGTCACGAATTCTACACGCTCCTTTCATCTAATAATTCCGGGCTCTCCATTCTATATTCTTCTGTTCGGCCTGGCCACGCCCCACGTATAATCCGGACACAAGTTAGTGGGCGTGTGGATACTGGGAATGTTGCGATGTCTTGCAAAAGTGTCCCTACTGTCAGCATCCACTTTTGGTAATCAGCAAAGATGTTATTAATACGGTTTGGCACAAATCACTTCGGATCTATACTGATGGATCTTTTAATCCTGACCTCCACACAGTTGGTTGCAGTCTGCATATTCCCCGAC